GCCCGCCATCTTGGATTTAGAAATGAGTGCCATATTCGTAATGAGCACCCCCAAGTACCTCGAAAATGATACCCATATTGCATTTTTTTGAAAAATCGTGCCCGCCATCTTGGATGTAGAAATGAGTGCCATATTCGTCATGAGCATCCCCAAATACCTCGAAAAGGATACCCATATAGCATATTTTGAAAAATCGTGTCCGCCATCTTGGATTTACAAATAAGTGCTATATTCATTTTTCATCGACAAAACCGAGCACATCTGTAGGCACCTGATCGACAATGTCGGGCAAATCTGTAGGCACCTTTAACTTAATGATGAGTTAAGCAAGATACAATTTCCCCACTTTTGAGGGAAATGTTATTCCATGGCATCATTATTTGTATATTTGTGTGCGTGCCGACGAGCGTAGTTACAAGTTGCTTACGCCTACATGAATTTGGTTTTTGCCTCACATGTGACAGTTCGTTTGATATGAAACTATCATTCTATGCGTTATTATTCTAAGTTAAAAGTATGTAATTCTGCAATAAAGATTTTTGAAAAGTTGCTTGCTTCACTCGAACCGACCAAATGTGAAAAAAAAACACCTGTATTTTTATGCTGCCGATTGAAGTGATCAATTATAAAGGTAACAACTAAGTAACGCCGTATGTTAAATTAAAGGGAATGCCGTTTAATTTTATATATAAACCTTAGCAAAATTAATCACAATGCGTTTAGGTAATGTCGATATTCGTACTTCAAGATGGGGCTCCGGCTCATAATAGTCGGAGAATAACCGAGTCTCTTAATTATTGTTTTTCGTCCTGGATTACTACACATGAACCGTTTAGATAGCAGGCGTGATATCTACACGTGACACTATTAGATTTACTTTTCTACAACTAGACAATGTGGTTGAGTTAAAATCGGAATTGTGGCGTATTATTTCGAATATTCATCATAATAAGATAAGAAAATCTACGAGAAGCGCATTTATCAAAAGATTAAGAATTTGCATATAAGAAGATAGATCACATTTGGTAACTTTTTAAAATCTTTGAATGCATATTACTTACTTTTAAAATAATCTCTTCAGCACACTTTACAGTACCTATGTGTATGTGTGTTACGCAACGCACACCGCCACATTGAGCGAAACCAAAAAGTGATACACATTTACATTTAAATAAATAAGAATAAGACATAAAGTAGCAATTAAATTAACATCTTTTAACATCGACTTAGCCATCAACAGCCTTTATAGACAAAAATCCAAATTAAACAAGATGCATTTTACATTTTGTAAGAAACTACAAATTTAAACAGCTGAAAATTTAAAATTTGTAAGAATTTCACATTTATTAAATAAAAGTTTAACAAATAAAAACGTCTTTCAAAGCTCACGAAATTTACAAGAACACAAAATCAACCCCGAACCACCTGTGTTAGAATCAAACCTTAGTAGAAAATTAAAACAAATAAATGAAAATAACAATGACAGTCGTCATTTTTTATTTTCAAATTAGACCTAAGACAGAAAAGTAAAAGGCTTTTGAAGAAACCTACATTATTTTGAGGATTTTACTAATATTCCGCTAAATGCATGTTAATTAGGACAATACTTATCCGTGATGATACAATATTTTATGTACATAACTATAAACGATAACTTTGTTTACACATACAAAATCAGCGCTATATTTACTTGATAAGATATGAGCTTGAAATATAAAGAGAAAGTAGGTGAATACGGCATAGTAATGATCGAATAGTGGGAACAATGTCGCACAAGAATAAAGTGGTTTTAGTGACCGGTGGCAGTTCAGGAATAGGTGCCGCTATTGCGGTAAAATTCACTGAAGAAGGTGCGAAGGTCGCCATAGTTGGAAGAAATGAGACCAAACTCGATAGTGTCGCGAAAACATGCGAACGGAATGGACATAAACCACTGATTATAAGAGCAGATGTGTCCAATGACGATGATGTGAAAAGGATAGTCAGCACAACGATACAGCATTTCGAGAAATTAGATGTACTAGTGAACAATGCTGGATTTTCAAAAGTAACTAATATCCTCGACAAAGACATTATGGCAAAATACGACGAAATCATGGGAACGAATCTACGTGGTGTTGTGTATTTAACTCATCTCGCTGCACCGTACCTCATAGAAAGTCAAGGAAATATTATCAATATATCAAGCATAACCAGTACAATTACAAGTTTCGTTGGCACTTTCGTCTATTCAACATCGAAAGCAGGATTGGACCATTTCACGCGTTGCATTGCGTTAGAACTTGCACCTAAAGGAGTTCGAGTTAACGCTATAAACCCAGGGTTTGTAAGAACGGATATTTTGGAGAACATGGGTATTAGCTCCGCAGAATCGGACAAAATTTTCGAAATGCAGAAGTATTCAACTCCACTAGGTAAAATAATTGAGCCTGAGGAGATTGCTGATTTAGCTGCCTATCTGGCTAGTGACAGTGCAAAAAGCATTACTGGCGCGACACATATAATTGATAATGGAACTCTTTTATCAAGAGTTTTGGTCGCTAAGTAGAATGCGATACTTCTAACATCGTAACTGTTGATTTTTTTTATATATATCATCAAGTGACGGGGCGAACAAGTCGTGCGCCTGATGGTAAGCAACCCGCCTGTCCATAACAGTTACAGTGCGACTCAGAACTTTAAATTGCAAACTTCTGAGGGGCACTATTACAGCGCCCGTCACCCTGACACATAAGTTGACAAGTTCCATGTGCCTGTAATTTCACCAGCACCCTTCAAAACCAGATGCCGTACACGTATTTGTGTCATCTTAAAAACTGGCATATGCAAAGAGGTCAGGTGCGAATTTTGGTGCAAATGGGTGCAGCAGTTTGTAAAATTTTCATCTATTATCAGCATGTGTTGCATAAGCACGTTTGTGCGCTACATCCGAATCGTATTCATCCCAAATCCGAGACTATACAAATCTAGAAAATTCGGACCCACTTCGGAAGTCGCTTGTGGACTAAATCCGATTCATATCCGAGAAAATCACGAATGTCACAAGTACACCTAGAGATAAAATGACTGTGAATGTATGAATCTTCCGATACCTGTGACATTTTGGACCGTTATTTCTCGGATTCGAAACTCATACGAATCGGACGTTGTGTGCAAACGCTCTAAGAATGGTGTAAGAAATTATAGACAGGTAACTCCGTTTTCCTCCCCATGCTATCGTCCGGACATAAATAAAATTGGGACTGAATATCAAAATGTTCGATCTATTCGATCAGAATCCCCGTCGATTTGTATATTTACAGTGTTTTAACAAATAATTTTAGTATGAACATTTTCAATAAACTTGTTGTTTTTGTTATAATAATCACGTTGTTAATCAAATGATTGATGAATAAAAGATTTACAGAATAAATACGTGAGTAGATATCGATTGAAATAGGACCTTGTCATGGTTCCGGGACAGAATCGGCGGTTGAGTAAGATACCCCAAAAAAGGTTAGGCCAGCGTAAACCGGCGGACGGCATTGTAGGTATACTTTTTGTTATTTCAATTGAAATAGGGTATGAATTTCAATGCTCAGAGGTACATTTCTCTGTATACATCACAGAGAAATCTGTTTTCTCAGGCAGGCACATTTCTCTGTGATGTATACAGAGAAATGTGCCTGCCTGAGAAAAGCATGCTAGAGGATGTCGCGCCGGTATGCGACTGAATCCATCGGTTAGGGTCGAAACACAAATCTACAGGCTCGCCTGACGTATCGCAAGAATTTGCCAATGGCTCCGCAACACGCATTCCTACGATGTTAATCTTCTTTGTGTTTTTTTCCTATACTTTCTTATCAATAACAGCAGTGCAACAATCTTTTTACGATCCATGTCGCTACCTAGTTCAAAAAAGCCGTTCAGTGCGGTTGGCGATGCGATAGTCGAAGGAATGGTTACGGAAACCGCGGCTATGTAGGTAGTACGAAATCGCATCGCAGCAATTCGCGTCGCAGTTATCCGCGTTGCGAATTCGCAGTTTTGCGTTTCGACCCATACGCCGAAGTCCGCCTGTATGCGCCAGGGTAGCTGCGGGGTAGCGGTTCACTGGCGGGCTCTCACGGTATTCTGCCGTCCATGAACTAAAACGCGGATATGTGACGAAATAATTTTTTGAGATATTGTAAAAAAACCCTAAACCCGTTTTATAATGTTCAAATTGTTTAATGGCACTTTAGATATGCATCATTATGGTAAGTTTCGATATATCGGACATAACTTTAATTGTTTTTTCGAACTCTACATTATGCTATTTAGAACCGATATTTGACTACTTGTCACTTAGCCGCCCTTTAGTTAGTGGACGACAGTATTATAAAGGCGGCTTCTCATCGCTGGCCGCCCCGAAGCCCGAAGGGATGGCGAATCATCAAAGTGCGCTGGCGGATATATCCTGATCGATGCTCTGTGTCACCGTCTGCAGGTTTGTGCTGGCCGTTAGGCACTTTGTATTGCAATAGATAAATGTTACCTCAGAGATATACAGCGACAAATCTGGATAAGTCTTCAGCGATATTGGTTTTAGGTTCGTTGTTAATGTAGCCCTGAAAAGTAATTAAATGACTTAGGTATTAACATAAGGAAGCTAACAACAGAGGTTTACTACAAGATTTTATACAAAAACAAAATGAGGCGAAAGTAGGTCGAATTCCTAAGGAAGTTTGCTAATTCACTTCATAACCTAAAAATGAAAATTTAAAATATCTTTATTAAATGACTTTCGAAAATGTGAAATCAGATACGCCTTGGTTAATTCATATGGCAGATTCTCCTGAGAAGAATTAGTAAGATATTGTAGTGACATTGCTCTTTGTGAATAGATATTTGTCTGTATTTATAATTTAAAATATTTTTATAACGTCAAAGATAGCGTGTTAAACCAATCACTCCTACGAATTTTCGACATGCACGTAATTTGATTTTTTTTAATTTATTTTAGATAGACAATCGGCACATACATAGAGAAACTTACACGGTTTTTAACCGACTTCAAAAAAGGAGGAGGTTCTTAATTCGACTGTAATTTTTTATATCTGACCGATTTTGATAATTCTTTTTCGTTGGAAAGACAGTATCTGCCAGTAGTGATCCCATTTAAATTTGAGGAAAATATTCCCTCCCTTAGGGTCGTATTCTATAATTCTACTCAATGCTCAAGTCAGGATTGCAATTGAAACACGAGCACTGGAAATACGACCCTAATGGTAGGGACTTGAGTATGATTTCGAGTGCTATAAACCATACTCAAATCCTGACTTGAGCATTGAGTAGAGTTCTGGAATACGGCTCTTGGCAAACTAGGACATGAATCCGGTTTCGCGCATTTTGCGGTAACCACTTTCAATAAAACTTGGCAAATAGATGTTTGAATTCCACGAACTTTTGAGGTCGGTTTCTTAGTATTCTGTACTAAGATTATGTAATATAAATGTTTACACAGTATTTTATACCATTACAGACGTATGTAGCAATCATGCAAGATAACATCAAAAACTATAATTTAAACAGTAAATATAATATAAAAATAATATATAGAGAAAAAAGAAAACAAAAACTACTGTCTAAGAAATTATCGAATAAACCATATAGCAGTCACATTCCGCTTGAACTTATAAATAATGAGTCGGTCGTGAAAGATGTCAACTTTTCGAGTTAGAGAATAGATAGAGAATGTGTACCGATTTTATTACTCTTACTTACTATACTCGATTTTAATCGATTTCACTAGAATATAATACTTTGACATGGCAAGACTGCTAAGCACTTTTATTGGTTGATGAGTCAATGGAGATCAAATTTGATGTGTTGTGATTGGTTGACGAGAAAAACGATTAACCAATCGGGGAACTGAGGTTCTTCCCGCCGAAATACAGCAGGAAAAGACAGATTGCAACAAGTTGCGCCATTTTCGGATTCATTCTGTATTTAAGCTACAAAAAGTGTTTGTAATCAAAGTAGAAGAAATAAAAGCGCAGTTTCCTTACCTGCTCCTCGGACCTGCTTAGACAGTGAGTTTTTTATATAATGTATATTGTTCCACATTAATGTAGAACAATATACATTTGAAAGAGATTTTGGTGACAATATTTTTAAGTCCTATTCTTAAACCACTGAGATGTTAGCTATTATCCTAACAGTTTGAAAAAATATTTGGTATAGTAATCATACCCGAAATGTTTATCCCAAGAAGTGGATGTGACATGACACCCTAACGCGTCTGCCAATATCCTCAAAGCTGCTAGCACCAGCTCAGGAGTGTCTAAAAAGTAGGAAATGTTATTAAAGAAAAACGCTTGTACTCAACATATAGGTGCAGAGCGACGTCATTCAGAATGGCTTCGCCAGCACGACAGCCATAAGCTCAGCACTTCCATTGTCTCCAGGACAACTGCAGTAAACGTGCCGCATGCTCTAAAGGAATAAACGCTCTTCTTTTCGAGAAACCGGTAGGGCGCGTTCCCATTATATCATGACGTCAGATAGTCGTGCAGTTTAAAGTGTCGTGGCTTGTATATTTAAGTGAAGTTGTTCACACATAGAACAACATGATTAACTGTAGTTCACAACTTTTTTGATATTACGACGACAGATTGTCGTGACAATAGGACGAGCAAGGACGACAGTCGTCGGACGATAAATAAATCGTTACGACAATTAACCGCAGCTTCAAATGATTATGTCATGCAAACGACAAGGCGGCTGCAGTGAACAGACAAATTGTCGTCACGATCGAGTGGGAACAGTTAGACACGACAGTCGTTCAAGGATAAAACAAACATCCACGACACAACCACGATAGATAGTCGTGATATGGGAACATGATAGGCGCGACTGTTGTGCAACGATAAATAAAACGTTACGACGATTACGTCGTTCCCAATTAGGGAACGCGCCCGTAGAATACGTTAGGCTGCTACTACACGGACTGCATGCACGAAGTCGATATCGACACTGGAAAGGTAAAACGTCTAAGGAACATTTGGAAAATATTACAGGAGAGCGATTTAACTGCCTCAGTGGCCGAACGGTTACCATCCTGGTCTGCCACGGGTTCGATTCCCGGGCCCAGAGAAATAATTGTACAACAATAATTTACTACTCTTAATTTTTGTCGTAGTCATGTGTGTGTCCACGGCACCCGCGACACTGTGTTTCGCTAGTGCGGGGCTATGAGTGTGTACCTAATAAGGTATTTATTTATAATAATTTTTTTATCCATCTTACAAAGGTTATGATTTTTTTAAATAACTTTAAATCGCTCTCCCGTTTATATTTGCTAAACGCACATTTGACCTTTTACCTTTCCAGTGTTCACATATTATGTACTACTGCGTCGACACTGACTTCAAGCAATTTTCGCTGCGCGCCTATTTCAGCAGCACTAGCACAGAGCTATTTGTTGATGTCGAAAATGGAAGATGTTACTTGTTGCTTATTACAGAATTTAGAACCTGTATGATTTAAAATGCTAAATAAATAATAATATAATAAACATATCACTATCGAAATCTTTAAATTTACTTTATCAACAAATTCACGTCTGTAACCAAAATTGTAAAAAAGTTGCCATTACAAAAAAAATAATATCATCCTAGCCGGTTTCGGCTACAGCGACTGCTATTGCTTACAATTAAGAGCTACGATTGTTTGCTCTATGTGCCCTCAGATGGCAGCCTGCAGCTTTCTTATTGGTAAATGCAAACAGTGGCGACACTTAATGACACCGACCCGACATCGTAGTAAAAAAAATATTTTAAGAATTGTGCAAATGATATAAATCCATCGATAAAAGTTTCACCAACACCAACCGTGTTTTGTTTTATATCATTAGGGCGCTTTCTAAGTAGAAACTTGTAGAACGCCACTGTTAATTTTCATACTATATTTAGAAGCGAATTCTCTTAAAAACAAGGATTCAACAACTACAATTGATACTCGAACTATCGTTTACATCTGCAGCCGCTACTTCCGTTAACCGCAGACGTGTAGTCCATCCATAGAAGCATAAACGTCGTAATTACGCAGCAAGCAAAAGGAAGCACTATCGCTAATTTGCACAAGCGTCCATTTTGTATAATGCTATCTCAAGTTTTACTTTGTATAAATGTAAATAAATAAATAGTCATTAAATTTAAAGGACGTTAGCGCAACGCGGTGTAATATTTTACTTACTGTTATCGTTAAAAGTCATAAACAACCATTCCCGTAGATTTTGACTTGTATTTGGAGACCTAAAATTATTTGTTCAGTTTAATATTATGAATATAACAATTTAATTTAATGATCTTTAGGTTTAGTATAGTTATGTATGTAGAAAGCATTTCACGCCCTGGGTATTAAATATAATAACCGTAATATATAATAATAAGGCAAGTAGTGTACGCCTGTTGGGCGCGTCATTAACGGGTTTTACACAGACACTCTATCGCGCGTGGTACAGCAATCGTGTGCGATTGAGTGCGTGTAAAGACGTTGGAAGGAAAGGGAAAACACCGCGTGATGCACTCATCAGTCGCGCGCGCAATTGCGCACTTCAACACTCGCCAGTTTCACGCGGTCTATCCTATGCTATTAGCCTTTACACGGACGCTCTTTCCGTTGTAACAAAAACGAATACGAGCAATCGCGCTCGTAAAAGCGTTTGTTTAAAAATTGTCAAACAGGTAATTGCACATGATTGCGCGTACAGGCTTTCCCGCGCGCAACCCTGTACGCTCCTGATCATGTGCGATAGAGTGATTGTGTTAAAGGGGGCTAATGTCTACACGTCCCTCGCAGCGTGGGGTATCACATTATTATTTTAGTTATACCTACAGCTTATAACATAATATAATACGTGTTATATGCTCTAAAAACCACACGAAATTGAATATTCCCATTCCCATAAGTCCCATGTGCCTGTAATTTCACCAGCTGACTGACCTGGCGGAAATAGGTAAGGTGGCAGTACCTAGTTGCCTGAACGGAGTCTTTTACAATAAGCTAGCTCTACTCCTAATAATATAATAACAATGTTTTTTCTAGTCAATTTTTGTGTTAAGTACACAAAAAAATGTGTTTTCAATATTTTGTGTGATGATTGAAATTTTTTTATCTTGCCCGAAAACTTTGGGAACCCATGCTGTAGCACATTCTTGATAATTGCTCAAGCGGGAGTTGATTACTTTTATGCTGTGATATGCGAAAAAAGACGGCTTTACTGTTGTTGAGACTGCGTTCAAGTTCTAACAGCATCTTAAAAACGTTTGTTGTTAATCTCGATGCGCCCAAGCTTCGTCATATCATCCACGTTTTGGTGAAGTAAAGAGTATGTTATAATTACTTCTCAATTGTACTTGCTAGCAAGTGAGCACAAGGCGTCTTAATAAAAGATTTCTTCAAAGTTAAAGTTAAATAATATTTTTTTATAGGCAAGCTTGAATCGTCATATTGATTAAACTCTACTGCTCATTCATAAGACACATTCCCCTGAGAAGAATGAGCAAGAAGCTCTTTGTAAATAAATATTTGTACACATTTATCATTACAATATTTATTTCAAACATCATAGATCGCGACAACCTGCAAGGGTTAAATGGGTCAGTACTACGGATTAGTGTTAGCCAAGTACGCAGAGACTGAATAGTATAAAGTTTCTGTTTCACTTTAGACCGTTTTCTGACTTGTCGGTATGGTAACGGTGCAGCATTGGTACGCTCGGTATACGCAGTACTTACCGAAAGCTTACCGAGTGCTTATAAATATACTCCCGGACACATAAATCGAGTCACCTTGCATTTTGACTCTTAAAGGGCAGAACACAAAAATATTGTTATCACCGTAGAAAACAGTTTTTCCCGGTTTTATAAATTCAAATTATCAACAAGGACTCTTGGAAATGACGTTTAGTATACCAATTTCAAAATAGCTTAGTAGTTTTCGATCAATCGAATATTGTTTAAGTTCAGGCAAATTAATACTGAAAATGCAAGGTGGCTCGACTTCCGTGTCCGGGAGTGTATTTCAAGGTGCAGTTTCTGATTGGCGCGGTTTGGACAGAAGCGGGAAGGGATCGTTTCGATTTACGGTCATCGTCATCATCATCAACCCATTTATACGTCCCACTGCTGGGCACGGGTCTCGTTTCAGACGAGGGTTTAGGCCATTGTCCGCCACGCTGGCCCAATGCGGGTTGGGGACTTTACACATTTTCCGAGGGTTGTGAACCTTCTTCGACGTGCAAGTTTCATCACGATGTTTTCCTTCACCGAAAAAAGCTCATGATAAATTTCAAATTAAATTTCGCCCATAAATTCCGAGAAACGCAGAGGTGCGAGCCCGGATTCGAACCCACGACCCTCTGCTTGAGAGGCAGTAGGTCAAACCATTAGGCTACCACGGCTTTTACCGCGGTATACCGATTTACGGTATACCGCGTCAATCAGGAAGCGCATATTGAAATAATAAGCATTCGGTAAGTTTTCGGTATGGCCTATACCGCGTATACACAGGAAACGGCCTTAGTTTTAAACCTCGTGAATGGGAAATTTTGAATATCGACAGGAAGCTTATTATAGAAGCGTATGTATGTTATTAATAAGCTCTTAAGTTTTCGCGATTAGTATTCGCTTTGGAAATGAAACTATTTTTATCGGATCTAAATCACTAGCGGTGACCACAGTAGCTACTCTGTAAAAAGCCTAAAACGTTGTTTTGTTTGGAAAAAGAAAAAACAAATATATATCTGTATGAGTGTTTCGGTACGAATAAAAGTTTCGTATCCAAACTCATTTAAGTTTTACTTAGAAATTTATCACAATCGGTTCAAATATTAGGTTATGGGCTTTTACCTTGTGGCTAAAGGATAAGATGTCCACCAAAGGACAATGTGTTCTAAACAACTTCCGACATCGCCCCATAGAACATTCTGATAGTACTCTGTCACTTTATGAGCCGCTTTTTTACTTGCATGTACACGACCTGTGATTTAAAAAATAAGTTCAAACACTTACACAATTATAATTGTTAGGCATATTATAAGGCCGGCCACATACAGTCGGGATCCTATTTTGAAATTCAATTTCAGAATTCCGTTTCGGAATTTCGAAGGCAGCAAAACCATACAAATCACGGAATTATCATACACATACAGAAATATTCCGTTCGAATTTGTTTCCGATTCGAAATTGCGTATGGTAGCTTGTGCATTTGGAATTCCGCACGGAAAAAGCCGTTCCGAATGCAAGTCTTCCAAAAATTTTGTAGGACCGCAACACACAGTCGTACGACGAGTCGACTCAATGCCTCGAGTCTCTTAGCTGAGTCTAGTTATTCCGAACGCAAATGAACGTACGTGTATGATGTTTATACGGAATTTCGAAACGAATTAATTATTAAATTAAATAAATCAAGACGAGTTCTAGACAGGCAATAGGACTACTGGGTAATTAAAAAGAGCTACTTTTGTTGTGCTATAAAGATACCTCATTTTTCACAAAAAAGCGTTAACTTATAAGTAAAATATAAGAACACATTTCCCACATGACAACTAACATAGTATTATCTCAAGATGGCTTCAATATATTTTAGTATTACCCATTTAGTTTCAAAGCGACGGTATTGTCCTGCCACTTTGAAATTAAATCGTATATGAATGACACAACAACATAGCGAAATTTTGATAAAATATAACGCAATTTTTGAGAGAATATTATGTTAGTTATCAAGTGCGATTTGGTAACGCAAATTAAAATCCAAGTAATGCCATCTAGCTGTGTTCGTTATGTACTAAACATTTATAAACGGTTAAAATAATTTTTTTACATCAACATATTGACTATAAAATAATTACTTTTGCAAAAGTAAGTATAGTGAGTAGTTAGTAATTGTAATTTAACTATAATACTGTACCTACACGGTCACAGGTACCTATTTAAAAATACCAAATATTAAAAAAATTGGTATGAATATAATCACTTGATCAAAAACTGTTCGGTATTGACGAGTATAATGAAATCACCTTCTAATAAATGGTGAAATTACAAATGTGTACAAATGATCAGAGGAAATTGGTTTGCAGCCGATCCATGTCAAAAGCACATTACCATTTTCGCTTTTACTACATCGGACTTAAAGCTTTTTTATGACTGGCTTAGTACCATTCTGTATCGATAAGTATGGTGGGTACCATAACAAAATAGGTACCATTGGCCTTTAGGTACAGACATAAATTCAAATGTACTCGTATACTTACCTGATTTAAGTTTTCGAACTCCATTGGGTCCTAATAACTTTGGTGACATATTCGCGACTGTGTCTAACAAAATCTCTATGTACATTTCTTCGCTTTGCAGAATACCGTTTACATTCTCTGAAAATATATCACACTTGATTAATAAACGTGAATCTGAAATAAAAACCAGAATCTTTTTATTTCATATTTAGGTAGATAAATTATTCCTTAAATTTGTCGAATTTTTGCTACCACTTATTCAATTATGAATTATGAAATGTCGTAGCGTACTTTTTTAATGGAAATAATCCGCACCCTTGGTATAATAAGGCCATAATCTGCGATATGACAAATTTTCAGGAAACAGTTTTAAAGAATCCAAGGACAAAAAAATTATTTAATATTTTTTTGGGAGAGTTATTAAAATTTCACGTATACATAAATTGTTTCATGTAATTCGTATTATTTTTATGACATTCATTGTGATAAAAGCACGTATGCGTATTATCGCATGTGGTTTTATTATGCCAACGGTACAATATGCAGACTGGTGAAAGGCAGACGACAAGGCAGAGGATGTTACATTTATCAATGTATATTTTACGCTATTACAGTTGCGCTGTGGTATACTTCGAGGTCAGTCCAAGTTAGTGTTGGGTCATGGAAAAATTTCCATTTTGAAAATTATATTTTTTAGTAAAATAAATATTTTTCCAGATATTGTCCATATTTGACGTTGGCACCTGTAAAAGTTGAAGTTACTGAATGAAATCGATGGAGCCAACAACAAGTGATGTGGTTGTTGGAGGTTTTTCGCTGATGTGAAATTACTTTAAATCTAGTTTTTGTTTATGTAGCTTTTAGTTATACAAGTTTATTTTATAATTCACGCTAAATAAAACTTCAAAAGATATTTCTATTCCTTCCAAATTATACTTTTCTAATTTATCAAAATTTTCCAATTTTTCGGTATTTTTTCCGGAAAAATGTCCACTATTTCAAATTTTTCGGACAATTACCCAACAGTAAACAATAAAAAACAATAAAATGTATATCTTATTTCAATTGTAATAACATTCATAAATTTAATACAAACTCAAACTCAAACTCAAAATAATCTTTATTTCATAGGTAAGCATTATTACACTTGAAATCGTCACAATGGTTAAACTCTACCGCTCATTCGTAAGGCAGATTCCCCTGAGAAGAATGAGCAAGAAACTCTAGGGGTTGCTCTTTGTAAATAACATTTACAATATTTTTTTTTTTTATTTGAAACATCAGAGATCGAGACTACCTCCATGAGCTAAACGGGTTACTACCACGGATTTTTGTCATCCAAGTACGCAGAAGTTGTATAATAACCTTTAGTATAAAGTTTTTGTTTCACTATAGTTTTAAACCTCGTGAAAGGCAAATTTTGTATATCAACCGGAATCTTGTTATAGAAGCGTATACATTGCCCCTTAAATGATTTTTTGACTTTGTGAAGACGACTATCAAGAAAAGCTAGTTTATTTCTATTCCTCGTATTAATGTTATGTCTGTCACTATTTTTCATAAATAAATTACTATTCCTTTTAACATAAATTACATTTTCATAAATGTACTGTGAGGCTAGTGTAAGAATGTTAATTTCCTTAAACTTATCTCTCAAAGATACTTTGGGGCCCAGATTGTAAATTGCCCTAACTGCACGTTTCTGCAGGACAAAGATTCTATTGATATCGGCGGCATTACCCCAAAGCAAAATGCCGTATGTCAATAGACTGTGAAAGTAACTGAAGTAAACCAATCTAGCGGTTTCGAAGTCTGAAAGTTTCCTTATTTTTTTAATCGCGTACACTGCAGAGCCGAGCCGTTTTGATAACTTACTTATATGGGGACCCCATTGCAATTTAGCATCTAACGTTATACCTAGAAATACAACTGTATCCACAAGATTCAATTTTTCATTTCTAACTACAATGTTTGTAACCGTCTCTCTAACATTGGGTAATGTAAATTTCACACAATTTGTTTTTTTCTCATTAAGAAGTAGGTTATTAACAGCAAACCAATCAATTACTTTAGATATAGCATTGTTCACATCGTCATAGGAACATTGGTGCCTTTTAACTTTAAATAATAAGGAAGTATCATCAGCAAACAATACTATCTCATGTTTTATACTCTCCATAAGGCTAGGTAAGTCATTAATATAAACTAAAAATAAAAATGGGCCTAGAATTGAACCTTGAGGGACACCCATGCTAATTGCAGATCCTGACGATCTCGTACCGTTAACATCGACCCTCTGTACCCTACCACGCAAATACGATTTAAGAAGGTCGAGATCACGTCCCGCCACACCATAATGGCGAAGTTTCCTGACCAGTGTATCATGGTGCACACAACCAAAAGCTTTGGAAAGGTCACAGAATACACCAATAGCATCATGTGAAACTTCCTTACGTAGCGTAACGCTGTAAAGCGACCTACGAGTCCAGTATAATAACTGCTTCAGGTTTCTGTTGGGGTTGCCGTTGCACTTAAGTGCGTTAGGAATGTTCACGCAGGCGCGCACGAGTGACGCTACCACCAACCGACCCCTGAAAGTTTACGCCGATCGGTGGGATTCCCCAATACTACGTCACTGGATCCAACTCAACACTTGGTGTTGAGTAGCGATGTGCGACTTTGAATGTTACTAATACCACAGTTAAACAATATCGTCCCCTAATACTCGTACTCGTAGCTAATCATTCTAAAGGTTAAATCATTCGCCTACGTCGAATCCAAGATTACCAACACCGAATGGTCGGGTGCACGACTCGAATGATAATTGTGCTGGAACTACTCAGTATTTCACTAGACTAGACACCATGTTCAAAATATCCCTGACTCCGTCACATTTACGGTATTTACCACATGTCAGAGGTGGCTAAGCAGAAATGCTTTATGGAATGATAATTCAGAGCAATCGCATACGAAAATTAGTAGTTACTAATTTGTCATTCGAATAACAGAATTAAAAGTCGAATACCATTGGCAATTTCTCATCGCTATTGTTGAGGAGTTCTGGCGGTAATACTATATATATTTCACCATCATTATACCTATAAGATACAAATTAAATTAATATTAGATTATAAGTTGTGTTACTAACTAGCTATGGATTATGTCCCAAATAAAACTTTTATTACTATTATCAATGTCCTCTGCCTTCCCGTCCGCCGATTTGCGCTGACCCTTAACTGGTAAAATATCTAGGTATATACCTTCGTTACAAAAAATATCCTCCAAAGCAAGTTCGTTAGTTAGCAGAGACGTATACGGGATATCACCATCAGAATTTTGCGTTATTGCCTTAACTTTTTTATTATGTTCGTTTTTCGTGTCGATGAGGCTTCGAGCTTGTTTCATTTTGGCCTTTTTGTGCTCGATGAAGGCTTCCCGTCGTTTTTCTACTGACAACGACGCCGTTGCCGGTGGTGTTATATGTTTCGTTAAGGTGCTATGAAACAAAATTATTATTAATTAAATTTTTATTGAATTGATATTCAATTATTTTTTTGTGAAATTACTCCACTAGTTTGTTATAATTATTAATACAAAGATCGAACACTCAGAAAAAATTCCTTCGATCCGGTCGGATTCGAACCGACGTCTTCTTGCATACCGTGCCCAGACGCTATACCAACTAACCAACGGACCTCACGAATTTTTCACATAGAAAAATTCGTGAGGTCCGTTGGTTCGTTCCGTGGCTTAGTTGGTGCAAGAAGACGTCGGTTCGAATCCAACCGGATCGAAGGAATTTTTTCTGAGTGTTCGATCTTTGTATTAATAATTATAACAAAATAATTATTTTAGCGTCTCTTATATTATTAAAATTTGTTAAGGTACCTCAATGGAATTTTTCACATTGTTTGTTAGGTAGGAGGACATAGGCCTCTAAAGAACACATTAATGACTGGTCTTGCGCTGTTTGGTTATCAGTAAAAACTCAAATTAAAATTGAACCCTCGACACAACAGAGAACTTTAAAAAGCCAATGAAGTCACAATCTATCTATTTAATACTCGTGGAGACCAGTCCAATGAATACAAACTTGTTGGGTCTACATTTATTAAAGTTTCGGTGTCCACCGTCCTTCTCCAGCATCAGACCCTAGTCTCTATCTGTAAGTCAACTACTCATTGAGACCAATTCAACGAGGACTTGGATAGTCGGTAGACCATCTTTATTTTCAGCATCAGATCAATGTTACAGTAGTGTCATCAGATTTGCATAATACGAGTAAGTATACCAAATTTTGAGTCAATCAGCCAAGTGCATGTAAAATTAATATTCATTTCCATGCCTCCAATGAACACTAAGACAACTTAATTTTTGGACCTGTTCTGTTTTTATTTTGAATTTTGTACCTTTATTTTTTTTTTCACAAAATTCCGGGAGCATTATGTCAGTAAATATATACGGCTGTTTAAAAAAAATAACAGAAAATGACCAAAAAATAAAGTTGGCGTATCTCAATCATAACATCGATGCCTCCAATGGTTCATTGGATATTGAGATCCGTATACTAACTGGGAAAAGGGCTGATGACCTTTAAACAGTTGAGCAGATATTCATCAAACATAGCTAAGAACAATCCGATTAAATTAGCCTTGAAATAATAAAATTTAAAAAAGCTACTTTAAGATGAATCCAGGCGTTTCTGAGCTACGATGCCACAACCACACTTCATTTTAGAATCACAGACAAAGGTTTTAAACTTTACTTATTGCGTCGAGGGGTCACACTAGATAATGTTACCAAAAAAGTAAGTAATGTCGGTAATAATCCCAAATAGCACATTGCCAACAAGTTTAACATTCAAATTAAATCTTTTTTAAATATCTTCACTGCCATTGGATGATTTCGATACCGGCGAGTAGATAAATAATTGAACTTACTGATAAATCTCCAAGCTCTCCGCTGTGCTAGAACTTGAATCGTTGTCGGAATTGTCCTCAGGCTTGTACACTCGCACTAAACAGTTGATAAGGCGGTGGCAGTTGATTTCTACGCGGCTCTTTGCAAGAACCTTTAAAAGAAATAAAAGCTTGTGCACAGGAGACCATCCAATTTATTATTCTATTAGTCTCCATGTTGTATGTCCTAATTATGAGATACGTATGAGAAAATATGTTGGTTTCCAGAAAAACTATAATTCATGGATCTCGCAAAAGAAGACCTAAAAACTCGTAACGAGTTCCTAAGTTTTCGCGATTGCAATACCTTGGAAATGATACTATGTTTTCGGATCTAAATCTCGACTATTACATATCCCATGGTTACAACAGTCAGTGACCATGGGTTTTGTAATGCCATGGGAGTTGGGCCCAAAATGTTGATTGATTTTGGAAAACAGATATCCGCGATTGAAATCCGCATCATCCATTTTTTTCGTTTTACTTATAATTTTATGATTCACTGTTATCGAATATATATATTATAACCAGAAATAGAGACGAAATGTCATTTAATTTATTTGAAATCCATTCTGCCAAACCATTACGGTGACAACTGCGCCAATTGGCCAGCCCGAATTTGAAACAATTGACGGGTCAATTGTTTCACTTCATATCGACCACTATAACTTGAGATTTGCTGTAATGGACGAAAATTGAAAAATTGCATATTTAATATTTAATTACCGATAAAATGTGATGATCCGTTTGTTTTATAATTAGATATTTTGATGTTTTGTCCCACTCCACCGAATAGAACAGCCCGCCATAGTTAGAAATATTACCTTTATAATAATAAATACATGATATTCTTGGAATATACGGAGACGTTCAAACAGCTCAGTTGTTGGCGCTGTACTATTTTAGCTTTGTAATTTGTGATGTCAGTGCAAACGAGAGTTGATATTTAAAAGTGATATAAGGCCCATTTGCCTGATAAGTTGCCAGTGATGGATGGCCCATAATTCGTCTCTATTTCTGGTTGTATACTCGATGTTCACTGTATTATAGTATGCACACAATACCAAAGTCGCTGCACTCTCAAAGTCGTCCAAATCGGGTAGATTCTGTTTGTCCGCAAAGAAATTTCAGCGAACCTGCTCGCCGTGAGCTTGTAGACCCTATTTCATCTGTTTTTTCAAGATTTCTCAATGCATTGTGTGGATCTGTCATGGTTTAGTATTGTTTATTTTACTCAGTTTGACCCACTATCCCCAGTAGCGGAGACGAGCTTCGGTTGCTTATTATCAACAATAACACACTGTAAGTCCCACTGATGGAAACGAGTCTCCTCTAAGCAAATGGTTTAGGCCACAGTCCACCACAATATGCCGGTGCGAACTGGGGACTTTACACGTTTTCCAAGGTTGTGAGCTTTCTTTGACGTAGGTACGTGTTTCACCGCGATGCTTTCCTTCAAAAGTTCATTTAATTTAAATTCATACGTACCTACATACCTGCCACTAGGCTGCCACCGATGTTTGTGTTTTTTAACTTATGATATTTTAACTAAACGGAATGGATTTGTTCAAACAACTGAATATAATTGGTGGATGAAAACAGTTCGACCCTGTTTCACTTTAGTAGAAAGCAGTCCTTTAGGCTCAACTCACACGGGCGTCGTCGCGCAATGACGCTCGCATTAGTGCGCCTGGATCACAGTGTGGTCGGCCACTGACGCGTCACTGTGCGCAAGTAACGCACGGCAACACGCGAAACTGCTTGACTTTAACCAAGTGTCGATGCGCGTTTCCATATTTGCGTAACACAAATTTGTACGACATGTGAACATGCTATAGGCGAAAACCATGACGCGTCGCGACGCTTCGTCTCTGCGCCAGTGTGAGTTGAGCCTAAAACCTACCTGTACAATCTTCGTCAACGTGATGGGTTTCGTTTCACTTATAGTGTTGGGGTATGTGTTGCTGCAAATGCTGAACTTTATAGCGAACTTCTTGTAGCTCAGCCCTATCATGTGATTGTAGATTGATACTAAGCTGTAAAAAGTGTATTATTAGATAAATACATAGGTAACTTGTACGATCGTATTCATCACCTGTTAAAGCAAAACGTGGAAGAGCTATGTTAAGTTGCAGTGTTTTAATAAAATGCTAATTAATTACTGAAGCATAACTTTTCTTCGTTCCGCTTTGGCACAAGAAATTGTAACACGAATTAGCAACACGTGTTTTAAAAATCCCATAGTTAATAAATTTACATACCCACCTACATATGTACATACAATCACACCTGTCCCGAACTCGGGGAAAACAGAAACCATAAACCATTGGTATTAACTACATTAGTATTTATGGTATTATCCGTAAGTGCTTTTGTGGAATAACGCAGTTTGCACAATACTGCGATTTTGAACTTAGCATACTGCCACAAGCAAACTCAAAAACTTAAATACGTCTGTAAAGACTCAAATACGTCTGTAATAGGGCTGATGCATTCGCTATATTAAATGTACAGAGAAACCCGATTAAACTATTAATTTGGAATAACATCGATGAGTTATCAGTTGTCATTAACTTTCGTTCGTCTAGCTGCCGGTAGCGCTCAACATTACGTATTTTCCTTCCACGCCCCGTACGCATAATAGGATCGCTTCCCAAGAATTCGCTGCTTTTCAAGAATACCTAAACCAAATTATTTAATATTTTGTCTTTTTTACACCAAAAAAATTTTTATTGTTTATTAATCGACTTCAAAAAAGGAGGAGGTTTTTTTTGTATGTATGTTACGTGATAACTCCAGTATTTGTAAACCGATTTTCATGATTCTTTTTTGTTCGAAAGGGGGTACTTCCATAGTGGTCCCATTTCATTTTGAAGAAAATCATCCACCTCGAAGGGTGGCTGTTCACGCATGAAGATTCATTTTCATAAATAGCGCCTAACATTAATTTAGGAGCAATTACTTTAATGGTTGATTTTGCTATTTCTCCAATTCAAGGCGTTTTTCTCTGAATATACTTTGAGTAGTGTCGTAGTGAGAACCTATTTTTATTATCTCCAGCGTCAAGTCCTGTATAGTGGCGAACTAGGGGATATTTCAATAAAACTTAGCAAATAGACGTAATTCCACGTACTTTTGAGGTCGGTTTTTTTAGTACTCTGTACTGAGATTATTATTCTGCAGTTGTATTTTAACCATCTTCCTGATAAATTAGGTGATTTTGAAATAGGCCGATATTCTAGAAAGCCATTGAAATCTTTCTCCTTTATAATTCTTATTTCTTTCTACTTTATAATCTTATATGAGAATAGACTCACAATATGTCGGGTGTCGCAGCGAGTACGCAGACTCCGCCGCCATATCCCATCCTCACGTTATGTAAAATATTTTTTTTTTCTGGGACGAACAAGTCGTGCGCCTGGTGATAAACATCACGCGTACTCATAACAGTTTCAGTTTCTTTCAGTATAATAAAGTTGATAGTCCCATATACCTATAGTTTCCCCAGCACCTTACTTTTCAAAACCGAAATGCAGTGATGCTCACATCATTGCTCGGCGGCAGAAATAGGTAAGGTAGCAGTACTTCCTTGGACGAACCCTTTCATAAGGAGCTACTAAACACGAGACAGAAAGTTGACAAGTCCCACGTGCCTGTAATTTCACTAGCAACCCTAACCCAACCCCGTAACGGATAATACTTACATTACTGCTCGGCGGCAGAAAGAGTACGATACGTAAAGTGATACAACATCAAATAAACCAACAGTTTAACTCACCTCAAACAAGATTCGATCATTTTCCTAGAGTCTTCTCTATGCAGACATGTGTTTAATATGATATTTATTAGCCCATTTATACACTGCAGCATAATAAACCTACTGGCACACAACTTATCGAAGATCTGATCATGTTTACTTAAAAGTAAACCATTGTCCTTTTTCAGTCTCGCCAGTTTTGGATGCAATTTGTAGAATGATTTCACCAATTTTGTTAAATATTCTATTATTTGATCAAGAAGCTGAAAGATGTAAAGATTTTTTGAAATAAAATTACATTTTTATTGATTTGTTTTTATTTTGAGAAATGACTCCACAGTTTGTTATAATTATTAAATACAAAGATCAAACACAAAGAAAAAATCCTTCGATCGTTTAGTTGACGCAGCAATGGGAATTCCGTTCCGATTGCTGCATGAACTACTGGTCCAGTTACTAAGTCGACGAACTTTTTCTAAGTGTCTGTTAAATATCTTTGTATTGAGTTTTCGACTATCGACACCGTAGCGACCTCTGTGTGAGATTTCATGAACCTTCTAACTCAGCCGGTAACTGTCCAGTTACCACAAGCTGACATTCGTGTAATAAAGCCACACCTGGAAAATGACAAATTTTCACGACGGAGTTTGAAGATTCTACGAACTTCACTTGTGGCTTTGTTATACCAAGGGTAAGATTTAAAGTTTTGTGATGATTATTTTTAGTGTATGTATCAATTGAAAGACAATATGTCTTCTGTTTGTTTATATGCTCCAGTTTTAGACGGGGAACAATGAAACTATGCCTATTTTGTTGCATTTTCCACGAATAAATTAATTTTGAATTCACTCCTAAGGCAGAAATCTACGGAACGACAAGTGCGACTCTAGGGCTAAGTTGCTCTTTTTAAATAGAAGTAGAGTTATTCATACATAATGACGTTAAAGTATTGTTGTTTATGACAAATTAATAAAAGCACAAAAAGGTATAAATAAAATTCTATGGCACACTCAGTGTTAAGTACCAGTACAGTTTGAATATGGAACTCTTTGGCTGAAAAATACAGTTTGTTTTATCTGACTGTCACTTGTTTTCACATTGTGGCGTCATTTTAGAAATTGGTTGTCACCATGGATTTAACTCGAAGAGTATGAAAAATATGTTTCAAAGATTGTCACGGAGGAGTGGCATAAATGTTTTCAAAATTGATTTATTCATTCAAAAATTCAAACAAATTCAAAGAAATAAATTCATTTCTGACCATTTATAGTATTTTTTTCTTATTAATTCCGGAAACTTATAGTGCGCCTCACGAATTTCACTGAATATAGGCAATAAAAATAATAAAAGTCGCTTTTCATTACCTGTATATTCACTAACTCCATAATATAATTCCTGTTGGCAAACGAATGGGGGTCGTTCTTTCCCGAAGACCCCTTCCATTTATTATCCACTTCTAATATCACTTTCGTAATAGCATAGCACACGATATCCATTTCTCTACAATGGTTGAACAGTTCTTCTTCCTCTGTAGTTTCTTCGCTTATCCATTTTTTGCCTCGGACTCTAATCGTAGACATATTTAAGCAACGGTTTGTTGATACTAACAGGTGTTATTCGTTTACTAGGTTATGTTATATTTTAGTTTTAATACTGTTCGGCATACTTTCCATGAAGTAAGTTTTTTTATATTTTATTTTGTATTAAAACCATTTGTTTAGGCTAAAGAAACTGCTACATTTCAGCTATTAAAGGTTTACTAGCGGTTCAGTTGTTTTATACGGAATTATTTTCTCTAAATACGCTTTTAAATTAATTTATGTAAAGAAATTAATACACCGAAAGCTACTGTAAACAAAAACAGTTTTGTGAGGCGATATGCTAGCTCAGACTTATGTTTGTGACTGAGCATTTTACGTACCTACCTATTGTGTGTTAAAATCGATGTAGAGACGTTGGTACCAGGTAGCGATGGTCGCATACGAAGTTGTGGTATGACCATTTTATAATGAGCTGTTACATTTGGACATTTTAAACATGTTGAACCAACTTTATGGATATTACGGACAACATTTTTTATGACACCAAATGACAGGACAAACAAGTGCGTAACAAGTGGTATGTAACACGCCCGTCCATAACAGTTGCAGTGCATTGAAACATAAAGATCTGAGGGGCACTGCCACTGCGCTCGTAACCCTGAGACATAATTTAGTAGCAGCAGAGTCCCTTGTGAAAGAGTTCGTCCAGGGAAGTACTGCCACCTTATCTACTCCTGCCGCCAAGCATTACTGCGTCCCGGTTTTGCTTCGGTTTTGAGCTCTACTGTAACTTGAGCTGTTGGCAACGGGGACTGGAGGTTACATCACCCAACTCATGATGATGCCAAAAATATATTGCTACCGTCTTGTCAAAAAGAGCTAGAGCGTTATCGTCTGTGGTAAACCATCGAGCTCATTTTAAGGTAGTCTTAAAAATCTTGTGAAGACAAGTTTCAATTGCTATCATTAAATGTTTATTGTTAAGGATCGACCGTAGTTTCAAGATGCGGAATTACGGGAACGACATTCAGATGTTTTGTTACAATATACGGCAGTATTTAACATACGTTTGTCTGTGAGGACACAGCCGTCGACTAACTAAAACGCAACTAAAAAGTGACGAGTGGTCAAAATATCCGTTTTAAATAGCATAAGATATAAGATAGAGCTCTAAATTATCTATTTAAAAACAGTTCAAGTTAGGGTCCGATATATCGAAACTTACCCTAATGACGCAATTGCATAGCTAAAATATCATTACACAAATTCAATATTATATAATTATAATTTAATTAAATTTTTATTGAATTGATATTCAATTATTTTTTTGTGAAATTACTCCACTAGTTTGTTATGATTATTATCCGACCGGATCGAAGGAATTTTTTCTGAGTGTTCGATCTTTGTATTAATAATTATAATTATAATTTTTTTATAAAAAAAAAACGACTTCAAAAGTTCGTGGAATTACATCTATTTCCCAAGTTTTATTGCAATCGGTTACCGGAAAGTGCGTAAAACCGGATTCATCCCCTAGTTTGACTCCCTTGAATGTGGAATATTTTCTTCAAATGTAAATGGGACCAATACTGAGGCGCCCTCTTTACATTTAAAAAAGAATCATCAAAATCGATTCGCAAATGCAGGAGTAATCGCGTAACATACATACAAAAATAAAACATTCGAATTGAGAACTTCTTTTTTTGAAGTCGTTTAAAATCTGGGTTATGGTTTCTTTATATCTCAAAAGATGATTTTAGGCAGAGACCATTAACCGTCACTTGCTACGCTCCTAAATAACCTCTTTTACGGCTTCCGCTATATTACGGGAAATTTGATTAATTGAGCATTATTAACACGGCCCGGTCCTTACGATTGAGAGCATCGGCCAAATTGATAAATTTATTACTTTGGCCAGTCCGTTTCAACTGCAGTCCGTCTGACTGCTCGTGGTCCATTTGCTAAATTGAGGCTAAAGATGGCGTGAATTTATCGTTTTAACCAGGCAGTATAATACCTTAACAAACCAAAAAAAACTACAGATCATGTGTTTTATTGCTTTCACCAAGTTAAAAGTGGTAATTATTCGTATTGACCGGGAAAAACGATTAATCATGCATTTGATGCGGGTTTTATTAATACAGACCGGCCATTATTTATAGTGAACAGTTTATCGAATTGCCCGTAACAAAAGTACATTATTTAATCAAATCAATACATCAATTTGATATACGTTTATGTAAGAGAATTCATGACGTGGAGTTGAAAATCGATTGTAAGTTGCAAGTAATCACGGTGTATTCGAAGTCAGGGTCTATAATTTTCGGTAAAATGCTATCTTATATTCCGGTTATGGATTTATGCGTCTGAGGACGCATTTACCTCAATAATTAGTGGTGGAATTGCCATCACATTCGCGTGCCTTAGCGATATTACCAAGTTTAGTTTCGTTTGTACCGAATTTTGCTCCTTATTTAGTGAGCTTAATGGCAACAGCGGCACCTATTCCTGAACTAGAATGTGGTAAATGCCATATAGTGTATTTATAAGAAGTACACATCATACGTTAATGTCACACAAACCAT